AATTTTCTCTCCATTAAGTACCATTGTCTCTGGATCCCAGCTCCTGCAAGCAGTCTAACCTGTTGCTGGAGGTGGTGGTAGTGAGTCTCGTGCTGGGTGGCGGCCGCATCCTGCCACTTCTCCAGGAGGACCTTCCTTGTTTTTCTAAATGTCTGTCAATTAATGTCCCAAATTATCTATCAATATATTTAATATTTTATTTTTTCTGTATAGTTTAGAAATTTTATTTTTATTGAAAGATAAACTTATTTGTAAGTCATAATTTAAAGTAGCATATTTCTTGAACAGATAAATTATTTTTCTAAGTTTGTTTTGTTTCTAAAATAATTTTAGTCTCATGTTAATTATAATATTTTTGTTTATAACTTTGTTTGTTTTGCTATAAAATTAATATATTATCTGTGAATAGCAGTTTCATTTCTTCTTGTCCAATCTTTACATATCACATATTTTATTTCTTTACAACCTGGACAAGTGGAATATTTTGACAATTGGTTGTCAAACTTGAAACGAATGTGTTTTAAGTATTTGTTTATTATTGTGTTCCCTAAATGTCCAATATATTAAGATAATGGAGATTTGTTCAAAATATCTCTGTTATTGCACACTTTCTTGTTATATTAATTACTGAGAGAAAAGTGTTAAAATCTCCACTAAAATTGTTGGCTTTACTTTACTTCAGTCTGTTTTGACTTCAACTAATATTAAACTCAATCGATAAGTAAAACCACTTTTAATATTTTGTCTTACTAATAGTCACTTTTATCAATATAAATCTTTTTTTTTTTTGAGTTGGAATCTCACTGTTACCCAGGCCCAGGCTGGAGTGTCATGGCACACTCATGGCTACCCCAGCATCGACCTGCTGGGCTTCTGTGATCCTTCTGCCTCAGTCTTTCAAGTAGCCAGAACTACAAGTATGCACTACCATGCCAGGCTAATTTTTTGATTTATTGTAGAGACAAGGTCTTGCCAAGTTGCGCCGGCTGGTCTGGAACCTGCAGGCTCAGGCAATCCACTCACCTCAGCTCCCCAAAGTGCTGGGATTACAGGCTGAGCCACCAAGCCTGGTCAATCATTTATATTTTAAAATACTCCCAGTTTTGATGTCTATTTTGCCTATATCATAATAATAGTCTTACCATTTTAATTAAGTTTTAAAGGACTATTATGTTCTATTTTGTTACTCCTTAACTTTTTATGTTCTCATGTATTTAACTTTTTCTGGTTATTTTACTGCAATCTTGATTTTTTTTGTCTTTTGGTACACAATATTATGAGGTTTAACTAATATATGCATTCATCTAAACTCTGTCATAATTATGATCCCCAAATAAATCCCATCATCCCCAAATATTCTTTATGCTGTCCCTTTGTAATCAAACAGTCCCTTGACCTATCACCTCTAGGAAATGTTGACTTCCTCTACATAACTACTATTTAGTCTTTTCTAAAGCATCACATAAGTAAAGTTATATATTACCTTTTGACAGTGGATGCCTGTTGGATTCAACCAAATTTTAAGCAAATCAATTCTAGTTCCTTTTTTGTTGGAAAGTAATGTTTTATTGTTAAGATTTACCATAAATTGTTTATTTTTTCACTCTGAAGAATATTTGAGTCACTTATATTTATGGACAATTATGAATACCATTGCTATATAAATCCACGTGCAGATTTGTGTGAACACTTTTATATTCTTTCTAGTATTATCCAGAGGTGGGTTTTCTGAAAATTATAAGTGTGTAGAACACTTTATAAAAAACTGCCAAACTCTTTTAGTGCTTGTGCAATTTTGCATTTTTAGTGAGAATATAAAAGAGTTTAGCTTTCTCCAGAAACTTGATAGTCCTTAGTATTGTTCTTCTACTTTTTCTTTCTGCCATTCTATTATCTTATATCATCATGGCTTTAAATGGCATTTTTCTTATAAATAATTATGCTGAATATATTTCCATGTGTTTGTCATTTTTATATTCTCTTTACTGAAATATGTATTCAAGCTTCTTACTTATTTGTAAACAGCTGTTGAATTATTAAATTTTGAGAATTTTTTATCTATTCTAAACAAAGTGGAAAATATCTTCGTTCAAGATGTAGATAATTTTTTTTCATTTCATTAGCTATTTTATTGTCACCCCAGCAGTTTTTAATATTTGTGAAGTACAATTTACCTCATTTTAATAGATTATGCTTCCAGGTTCATGCCTAAGAAGTTTTTGACTAATGTTAGATGATAAAGAGTTTGTCCCATTCCAAAATTGTTTACACATTTCTATGCATTTGTTAGAGCAACAGCCTCACTTCGTTGTACCACCTATCTTAGTTGTTTTTGTGTTGCAATAACAGAATACCCAATGCTGCATAATTTATAAAGAATCATTCCTCTGTTTATTTTTCAAGTTGACCAATGTCTTTCACAGTGACACAAGTCAGATCTTTTCTAATTGGTTGTCTCTGCTGCTTTTCTAATGGTATAATTTTCTGTGACGCTTTCTTGTCTGTTTGCTTGTGTGACAGTATAGTCTTCTGGATGTGTTTTCACTTTTCTTACTATTTTTATTAATGTTGACTGTGATGTCACTTCTACTTAGAAACTCTTGCCCTGTTTCAGGGTGAATCATCCTCATTCTTCAAGACTCAGCTCAGCTTTTCCTTGGCATTGCCTCCATATGGCATAACTAGAATTTTTTCTCCAACCCAGTTATATTTGCTGTTCCAAATCATCTTTGCAATTACTAACTTATGTTAGCTTAATGAACAGAATCTAGTATAGATGCTGAATTTTTGTTACTGGATTTTTAAAAATTAGTTAGTTTATACTTTACTACTTAGTTTCTTATATCATTTTAGCATATGTATGATACAACAAATCCTTTATAATATGAGATGATATTCTCTTACTAATTTCATCACGTGACATTATATTTACTTAGATAAGAAGTTTAATAGAATAATCTGGATGGAGAAATAAGTACAAAATGTCCAGTTTTGGACATGTTGAGATAAAGGAATAGAAAATTAGCATCTAAAAAATTCCTTTGCTAATTGATCACCATATTTACAATACATATTTTAGCCCTGACACTGGTATGTATGGAATAAAATTATATTGACTATTGTGATCATTGTGTTTTATTATCATATTTAATCCCTACCCTGGTCTTAAAAAGTACATAAACACTTCTCATCATTTAACATATAATAAAACTAAGAATGTAGAAAGTTATAAATAAAATTTATTTACCTATTAGTGATGGAAGCAATATTTTTTACTTGATTTTTCTCTCCACAGAGCTCTAGCTCTTAAATACTTGATAGAACCACTTGATACACACTCATTGAATAATTGGAGAGAAATACATACAGTTAATGCCCAACACCACAACTGTTTGCTACATAATTATATATAAATGTTAGCAAGATATATGAAAGAGTGAAGTCAAAATGGAGGAACTTCAGCTAAAGAACATTCATTTTAACAATGCTTAAGCTTTGTCATGGTTTGCTAGCTATTTGTTTCACTCTCCACTACTTATTAACCAAGGATAGAGCTTTCCTGAGATGGCTATTGATAATTACTTTGCAATTCCCCAAGCGTGTCTTATACTGATAACTTTTTTTATTCTAGGTATTTGTTTTCCAGCTATACAAGACCAAGATGACCTAATCTATTGTAATCAACCTTGCATGATAGGCCACCAACCCACATCTGGAGTCACAAGACTGATGGCCCTGACAACGACAAGAGCACAAGATTGGTGTTATCAATACTTGAGAATGCAGTTGCTGTAGATTTTTCTTTTCAACCCCATCTCCTTATTAAAACTTTAAAAGCCCTCTTTCCTCAGCCCTCATGCCATGCTGCTCTTACCTGTGTCTGCCCCATTTGGAGCCTGTTCTAGATGTGAATAAACTATTTTGCTTGGTCTTTGCAATTTATTGCTTTATTCCTGCAGCATTGGCCCACCTGGCCTCACTTTACTCTAATAATATATTATTAATCAATAAACAAATAAGAATAATGCTATAGTAGTCATATACAAAAAGCCAACATTTTTAGGAGCTAATTCACTCAAGAACACACCTATGCCCATTAAATATTTGAAAAATAGGAACTAATATTGATCAAAACTCAACAATTTCTAGTTCAAAGACCCCTTGTGCCTTTGTCAAAATATTGAAATAGAATGAATTAGGTATAGAGAGTGAGGGAGATTCACTAAATCTTCCCAAATGTTTAGAGCAAGAAAACCAGATATAGAGGAACAAAATCATAACTATTGAGGAAAATAATTTCTTTCTTCATGAAATAAATAAATAAAAACCCAAAGACTTCTGTTATGGTAAACAATATTGTCGGGTAGTTAAGACCATGTATTCTGAACCCAGATACCTTGGGTTTAAACTTATATTTCCACTTTTTATGTGTTACCTTGTACAACTTCCATAGCCTTTCTTTGTCTCTATTTCCCAATTTGTACAATGATATGATAATAACACAAATCTCACAGTATACCTTTGTGGACTAAATAAGTGAATACATGTACAAGGCACAGTAAACAGCCAAACACACAGTAATCATTATTTTAATGTTAAGCCTTTATTGTTACCTTTATAATCAGTAAAAGAATCTGAAAATAATGACTTTTACTTCAGAACTTTTCATCAGGATGTGTAGAGAATTTGAATTGGAAATATATATATATATAATATTATACAGTTAAATTTTAACAGGTTTTAACTTGTAACAATAACAACTAGTCCTTTTACAGTTCTGATTACAAAATACAAACAATACAAAACATACAATAATAATAAAAAATTATGGCTAATAATAAAAAATTATGGCTAATATGAAAAAATACACAAGATCAAATAAACCTGCCATAGCATTGCTGAATTTAGAAATATCATTTTAGAAACAAGGTTGTGACGTGACTCATTATAACCTCACGAGCCAGATAGATACTGTCAAAATGAGTTTGCATTTAAATGTTTTAGCTTTTAGAAATTTTCTTGATAGAGAAAAAGAGACCTACCACTCGGTCACGAATCTGTTTGGTCTTGACACCATACACCAGGGGATTGACCGTGGGGGGCACTAGAAGGTACAAACTTGCAAAAATTATGTGGATGCTTGGTGGTACCTTCTTGCCAATGCGGTGAGTTAGGAAGCTAAACAATGCAGGGGTGTAGGAGACAAGGATAGTACAGACATGGGCAGCACAGGTGCCCAATGCTTTAGAGCGAGCATTCTGGGAAGAAAGTCGGAAGACTGCCTGGAGGATTTTGATATAGGATGTGACTATGAGCCCCAAGTCTAATATCATCACTGAAAGGGCCACAGAGATTCCATATGCTCTGTTAACATGGGTGCTGGCACTGGCCAACTTCACCACAGCCATGTGCTCACAATAAGCATGATTAATGACATATTTGGTGTAATATGGTAACCTCCTAATGAGAAGAGGACAGGGCAAAACCATAAGGATAGCTCGAATTGTACCAACCAGACCAATTTTAATGACCATTGGTGTTGTCAGGATCGTTGTATAACGCAGTGGGATGCAAATCGCTACATAGCGGTCAAAGGCCATGGCAACAAGGAGGGCTGATTCAATAATGCAAAATGTGTGGATAAAATACATTTGTGATAGGCAGACACTAAAGTCAATCCAATGTGAATCAAACCAGAAGATGCTAAGCATCTTGGGGGCTGTGGAAGTGGCAAGAGCCATGTCATTCATTGCCAGCATGCAGAGGAAGAAATACATAGGCTCGTGCAGGCTTGACTCTAGTTTAATAGTAATAATGATAACACTGTTCCCCAGTAGTGTCAGAATCAACAGGAGGCAGACAGGGATGCCAATCCCACAGTGAAAATCTTGCAGTCCAGGAATGCCAACCAAGAAGAAAGATGAGATGTGGTACTGTGTAGCATTGTCTCCCATGTTAAAACTTGAGAGCTTGCATATTTAGTACGAAGTAGCCAGGCAGAGCAGGATTAAAAAGTGTTTTTTACATGATTCTGCATGTGGGAACATTCAGACATACTCTACAAGAACCTACCTGAAAAGCTGACTCTTCTCCTATACCCCTGTAAACCCTCAGGTAAACCATCTAACCACTCTGAGCTCCGATGTTTTCATCTGCAAATGAGAAGATTAAATTCATGTATTTCAGATTTTTTCCTTGTTTCAAAAATTTATTTAATTCAACTGCATAATTTTTATACCCTATAGGAGAAGTGGTTATTAAAAAGATAATCTCATCTTTATCCAAAGCTGGTGTTGGATTCTGTGACATAAACAATTTTAAAACAAAAGTTAAGTTGTATTTTTAAGAAAATCTGGGGATGGCTAATTTAAGCCCATTATCCCTGTTCACAATATCTCCATATAACAATACTTATTATACTCTCTGAATCAAAAATAAAGTTACGCTTCTTGATTCTAACATAAAATTTAAAAAATTATTTGGACACACACACATACAGACATCCACTAATTGACATGCATTTTAGATACAGTCATTTTTAAATACTACTGTTATCCTTAAGTGGCACAACTTGATCAGGAATTCAGAATAAGATGTCATAATGCTAAAGCATATAAAATTAAGGGCATAGCTGGGCATGGTAGTGCACGCCTGTAGTTCCAGCTACTTGGAAGGATGAGGTGGAAGGATCGCCAGAGCCCAGCAGGTCGAGGCTGCAGTGACCAGGAGCATGCCACTGCACTCCAGTCTGGGCAACAGAGTGAGACTCCAACTCAAAAAAAAAAAATACAAAAATAAAAATAAAATAAAGGGCAATACATTTTTTGTCATCAAGATGAATTTACACCTATTTTAGATTATCTCCTTAGATACTTGTTGATTTGAAGATGACTAGATTTGAACATGATCACATAAAATTAATGGAAGACTGTATTCCCTTATGCTGGCAAATGATTTGAAATTGCTACACATAAACACATAAGTAGTCAAGTCCAGCCTATTTTCTATAAAGTTATAATTTCTATCTGTAGACTCAGCTCTGTCTCCAACTCTCGCATCCATCTTCAAAATGCCAGTGAGAGCAAAACAACTACAGTTCAGTCCTTTTGATCTCAGCAGCAAGGGTAGTGTTTTATGACACTTCCCCTCATTACATCATTTAATTTCGATTATGGTGCTTTATCTTTCTTCCTAAAATTCAATTTCTAGCTTATATCAAATTTGTGGAATATTCACTCTACTCTTCATAATACATTTTTATTTAAAATTGTTCCCAGTGTCTCAATTTCTGGCCCTGAACTCCAATGTCCAAATATATCTGTGTGGGATTTTTGTTATGGTATTTGTATTCAATTAAATATATGCTACTCTGGGCTTATGTGAGGCATTTTCTATTAAGGAATTGAAAAAAATCAAGGAGTTATAAAGTATTTTAGAAAAACTGAGCTCTTTAACTTTCTTCAGAAATTTGGTTTTGAAATTACTACATAACAGAAGAAAACTATAACTCCAGAACTTGAGACAAAAATCAACAAATACTGAATTTTCATCTGAAAATATTTTAAGTGTTCATTTAATTTTTTCTCTTTGAAAATTCTTTAAATGACTGCTTTTCATCTAGAAACTTGGTTTGTCAAGTTCTAGTCATAATTTAGGAAATTATAGCATACAAAAGGCCAATGAAAAATGATAGAGTGCTGTGGTATAAGAGGCAATTTAATTTACCTAGAAATATATACATAGATTTTAACCAAAAAATCTGCCTTAAGTGTATGAACAAGCATAATTGTTCTTGGCAAATATAAATATATATATATTTATAAGTTCCCAACAAATTTACTTATAAGATGGCAACATGACTAATCCATATCAAGAGAAAGAAGTAAAGTTGCTTCCTTTGAATAAGAAAAGCTTCCTGTTAGGGCCCTAGAAGTGAGGCACATATAAATTTGCAGAGAATACTCCCAAAGTATGATGTGCTAGCACAGTTTCAGCTCCCTCCTAGGAAGTGTTCTCTATCTTCTCTTAGTCTTGGTTAAACAAAATGCTGGAGACACCTGTCAGTTTTAATAAGTCCATTCCTGACATTATCTTCAGCTATAAGTCTGCCAAGGCAGTAGGAATACCTGCTCAGACTTCTCTAACTTCTTGTTGGCACCGTTATTCTGTTTCTGCACCAAATAAATACCTTATTCTTTCTGACAGCCTCAGCCTTGATGATGTTGCTTTCTTCCGTCTGCAATGCTCCCGACCTGAAATCTGCAACTTCAAAATAGATGACTGTTTGAACATCATGGGATTTTTTATACTGTCTTTTTTGAATGCACAATCTATTTTATATTAATGTAGCATTTTAAAAACACATAAAGATATTCCAAACTAAATTCATTAAGTTCTTCCATTCTCTTCCTTCTGACTATATTTTACTTGGTGACAAAAGAGCCAATCAACCATTCAAGTAAGAAATCTCAGAATTATACTTGCTTTCTTCGTTTATTTAACTCTAATTCTTCAGTCAAGCAGTCATTTTATCTTTTATTTCTGTTAGAGCTCTTACCATATTCGTTGCGTTGTTCATGTCCCTGTCAACATCCTTCATCAAACAGTGAGGAATCAGAGAGAGATACTGAATCTAGTAAATTCACAATAAATATTGAGGGAATATTAGATGTTTCTGTGAATCTTCTGCAGTCTCTTAAGAACTTCACTTAATCTTGTTATTGAAGCCTCTGACCCTCCAGACCTAGTCTGTCTATTTATCATTATTGTCTACTTTTCATGCACTTCAACTGCCTTCTTAGAGCATGTTCTTTCAAATTGTTTCTAACATGAGTAGAAATGTACATTTTTCCATAAAAATTAAGGTATTGAATATAAATATTATACACACATATATAATTAGTTGGTTCCTTTTCCCCACAACTAGGTCACATCATTCAAATACCCAAGTAGTTCTTAAAATATGTAATATCATTTATGTTCACAATCTTTTCCATGAATTCCACCAGCTTTATCTTGAATACTATATTACAATCTATGATATATTCCAGATGATAATAAAAAATAACTTGTTCTCTGCAATTCCTCAAATGATCATTTTTCATTGCAACATCTAAGCCAAAATGCATGAGTGGGAATGGTTAAAAACATGACAATGTTTGTCGTTGAAGCAGGGAGGTCTCTGTGTCAACTTAGTAGTTATGGTCGCTTTCTAATGGTCCATTTCAATACTCAGGAGTTTCCTCAGGCCTAGAATGTCAATAGGTCCCTCAGGAGACTCAAGTTCCAAGGGAAAAGAAGACTGGGCTAGGACTAATCACGAAGCAGTAGCAATGTCTCTCTGGAACAGCCATCTTAACATTAAAAACTCCTCCAGAGTTTCTATGTGCTTAGTTTTCATGTGTTCCTCTTAAAGGACCATACACTTCAGTGAGTCCCCATGGTGCCTGGTCAAATGAGGTGCATGTGATGCCAATCAAATATGTAGCTTACTGGAAAAATCTATAAGAAAACTAGAAAGGTCAAATCATTTAGCACAGGCACACTCTCTAAAAATTAAGAGAAAGACACTGCAAAATCAGGAAAAGATTAAGTTTATATGAAAGTGTAATGGTGTTCCAGGATAGTTCTTGATCTTCATTCTCTTAACCTTTTTCCCTTGTACAATCTTACTGAGACAAAATTTCCACTCATTCAATCACTTAATGTGCTTCTCCCTATATTAACTTGTGCTCGTATGTACCCTTATGCTTATATGCATTCAGGTTTTCAGAATTAATAAGTCAATAGGTTGCTTTCCATTTAGACTGAACTTGTCTATTCTTCCTCCAGTTGTGCATAACTGAGCATATTTATTTCCTTATGTTTCTGTCAATTTTTAGCTTTCTCTTATTTTCTGATGTCATACGGAGCTTAAACAGTGATTCAATATTGTTTCAATTTGTAACTCTGTCATTGCTAAAAAGTTTCAATTCAATTAAAAACTGCCAATTTTTCTCACACAAATTTATTATTTTTATTCTTGTTTTCTATGGGAGATTATTCATTTTTCTTGTTGATTTAAAAATATTTACTGAATATTATTGCCTAAGCCTTGAAAGCTAAAAACATTGCAAACATCTTTTCCACTTTATCTGTTACCTTTGTCTGTGGTATTTCTAATTCTAGAGAAATCTTCATATCTAATTTAAAGTCATAAAAATTTTGCAATTAAATTTGTAATTTTGACCGGGCTCGGTGGCTCAGCCTGTAATCCCGCGCCTTTGGAAGATTGAGTTGAGTGGATTGCTTGAGTCCATGGGTTTGAGACCCGACAGGGCAACTTGGCGAGACCTCATCTGTACAATAAATCAAAAATTAGCTGGGTATGGTAGTGCGCGCCTGTAGTTCCAGCTACATGGAAGGCTGAGACGGAAGGATCGCCGGAGCCCAGAAGGTCGAGGCTGCGGTGGCCGGGAGCGGCCACTGCACTCCAGTCTGGGCAACAGAGTGAGACTCCAACTCAAAAAAATAAAAATAAAAAAATAAAAAATGAAAATTGTAATTGTGGAATTTTTGTACAACTTTAATCACTCTTAATCAGTTATTTTTCTGCATTATCTCTTCCCAATGTAATAGCTTTGAAAAAGTTATCAATGTAGTTTAGGGTGCAATATGATATTTTTATATACCTACATAATTTTGAGTAATTAAATCAAGCTAATTAACATATCTATCACCTCATATATTTATAACTTTTATTAATGAAAATATGTAAAACCTGTGTTATCAATATACAAGTAAACAATGCATATAATTAACTATAATCATCTTGCTGGACATTAAATCTCCAGAATTTATTCCTTCTATCTAAATGAAACTGTACTCTCAAAACAATCTCTCTTCATTTCCTCTTCCCCTCTGCCACAGTATTTTACTACTTCTATGAGTTTGGCATTTTAATATTACACATATA